TATATTTAAATATTCACGAATAACTGAAGGTTCCGCCTGAATACAATGGTTTGCTAAATGTTCTTCCATTATTGCTGGTTCACCTCTTGTCCAAAATTTCATACAAGCTTTACATGTTGCTTCATAACGCCCAGGAGCCTTTTCGTTTCCTTTTATAAAATGTTTCCAAACATCCTTTTCCGGTCTTCCGCCAATTTTTCGATTTGCATCTTCATTGCTGCTCATTATTATGATAAATGGGTTGCGTTAGATAAAATTAAAAGAAAAAAAAAAAAAAAAGTTTTTTATATATTCTATGATTTGTGATACGATAAACCTGTTAAAACCCGTCAAATTTAATTAGAATTCGCAAAGTTGTTATCAAAACCGTCGAAACTTTCAAGACTTATCGAAACCCATCGAAACCCGTCGAAACTATTAAAACCGTCGAAACCCGTCAAAACTGTCGAAACAAATTCTGAAAAGTTTCGACTTTTGCCAAAATAGGTTTAGGGTTTTGCCCTGCAACTATAATTGGTCTAAAAGTAAATATAATTATATTATATAAGTATAATACGAAATCCTGAAACTTTAAATCCTAATAAGCCAAAATCCCAAAACTCAAAATCCCGCAATCCAAAATCTTGACCGGTTCAAAATCCTGATAGATATAAAATCCTAACAGGTACAAAATCTTGAAAAATTGACTTGCATTAAACTTTAATACTGCCTAGAATTAAGTTTCGATATTTTTCAGATTCTGAGTCCAAATCTCATCTTAGCCTTTTTTTTATCATTTTATATATTTTGTATATAATTATACTAATAAAAATAACAAATATATTATATATATATTAATAAACTTTTATTAATTATATTATTTTAAAAAAAAATAAAAAAAAAGTTTGTTGCTTATTACAAAATACTATTTAGTAATTAAAGAAGTTTGTGTAATAAATTTTCTTTAAACTATTTCGCTATATATATTATCCTTCCATTCCACTAATTTATATTTATACATCTAATTAATTTAAATCTAATATATACAATAAAAATATATTTTTAGGATTTTAAGTTTCAGGATTTTGACTTATCAGAATTTTGTACCTGTCAGAATTTTGAATCTATCAGAATTTTAGATTTTAGAATTTTGAGTTTTGGGATTTTGGCCTATCAGGATTTGAGTCTTAAGATTTTAGACGACACACATTTATAACGTATAATTAATAGGAATGTTTTCTTGACAACATAATAGTTTAAATCATCTTTGTAAATTTCATTATTTAAAGTTTTTTTAGTTAATAATGTATAATTTTTAAAATAATCAGGATAAGTTATATTATTAAATTGTTCATCATGTAAATGTGCAAAATATTTTTCTATTATATCTTTCTAATATAAAACATCATTATCTTCTAATATTGTTGATATTGGTCTTATTACACATGAATGAGTTATTGGTGATTTAGTAGGTAGGTATTTTACTTTTACTGATAATTTGCATATTGTTTTACCAAGTAATAAAATATACACTTTATTGAGCTTAATCATTAAGCAATTATATGCTCACAATACTTATCACCTTCTGATATATTAAATATATATGAAGATTCTGATTTGACAACATATTTGGTTAAATATTTTTAGTATTCACATATTATATATTCATGTGAGCATTTCATAATAAAAGCATAGGTGGATGGTAAGGAACTATCCATCTATTCTTTTCAATTATACATTGATATATATGTCTAGATTCTTTAGTATTATAATATGTAATTAGAGAATATGGTTGAAAAAAGTTTTTTTTGCATGTTTGACCTGAAGGTATTAGTTCACTACACTTTTTATAGTTTGTAAAGTATTATCATTAGTGACTTTCTGATTATAATGATAATACTTGAGAGCTTTATGCATTAGGTATAATTTTAAATTTTCATTAATAAAGTATGAATATCTCATGAAATTACATATATATAATCATAATAAGTTAATTTTTAGTAAAAATAAGTATAAGGAAAAATAAGATCAGTTGACTAGATAAAACTTTTATAGAGAATAGATATGAAAGATAATTCTATAACTATCTATTTATACATATATCTCTTTTTGTCTAATATGTTAGTGTCTGAATTTTATTTTCTTATTAACTCATTCATATTATTTAATATCAAGAATAAATTTGTCCTATAAATATTTTGATTTTAAATAAAAAATATATTAGTAAAAATTATTAAGAGTAAAAGGAGAAAGATAGAGATTAGAATTGATTTTATTTATTATATACTTTTATTGAGACTGAATCAAAACTGAATTTAAATAAAACTGAAAAATGAATTGAAAAACTGAATTACAATTAATTTTATAAACATTAATTAGGGAATCTAAAATTTGAAAAAAAAATAATTATGCTATGAAGTAATCCAAATAATAAAAATAATTAAATAAAAAACTTTATATTGTGATCCAATCTGAAATAAATTATTAAAAAAAATTAATGAAAAGATATAATTAAAAATAAATCTTATATGATTTAAGACATTATATTTTGTCTAATCACCTGAAAATTATAAAAATGATTAAATAATAAAAAATTTTTGCATCAGGTCAAATTGCTACTCTAAAAAGAACCTAAAAAAAATAAATTAGAATAATTAATAATCAAAAGAATATAATGTAATAAATAAAAAGAAAAAATCAACTTATAAAATATTGAAAAATCAAATTATCTATCGTTACCTTGAAAGTTTTTAAAGGCAAAAAAAGCTAACATAAAACTAAGAAAAAATATCACTTAATAATTGCAGAAGTACTCTAATCCAAAAGAGGAACCTAAAGAAAAAAAGTGTAATTTTTAAAAAAAGGCATAAAAAATAAATATTTGATCACTATAATTTAAATATAAAACTGAAAAACTGAATTATTTAATAACTATGCAAATGATCCAATTTTAAGAAGAAAAAAAATGCAATTTTCTTGAAAAAATCATTGATCTAAAATACCAAATCTCTTTTGATAATATAATATTAAGGTCAGCTACTGACTAGGTATTACATAATTTTAGTTTTAAAATAGATAAAATAATTATTATAATGATAATAATAAGGATTAGCAATATATTTGCTATAAACATTTTTTATTTTGATAATTTAAAATTTAATAGTTTAATCATGTAAATAATAAATTATAGATCTATAATACAAATATTCACAAATAGTTTTTTTAACACATTTTATTACTTTTTTAATATTAATTAATATCAATTATTATTTTTTTTTTAAAAAAAATCATATAATCTCATTGACATTTTATATTTTTTGTTTATTAGAAAAAATATTATTTTATTTTTATTGATAGCTTGTTTATCTTATCTAATTTACTATTAGGCAATTTTCTATAAATAATGATATATTTACAAACTGCTAAGTGATATTTATTTATTTTTAAAAAATAAAAAAAAAATAGTCAATATGATATTTTTAACATTAACTATTTATAAAATGATTTTTTCTAATAAATTTATCTACCTTTCATTAAAGCTGAATACTGAATTCAAGTATAAAGTATAAGCATATATTTAAATATACAGTATATATAATATACATAAGCCTATATATATAAGTATAAAGCTATACTATAAGAATTTCTTAAAAAATTAAATCTTATTTAGTAATCAAATTAATTAAATATTGAATTTCTTATTAGTTAGTATAATTATCTGATTATAATTACATATGTAATACAGCTTAGACAACTTAGTCACAATAAAATTTTTACATCAACTTTGAAATCTTATACAAAATTTACTAATATAAAATTATATAAATTTTTTCCATTTTTTAAAAGCGCACAATCTGAGCTACAAGATAATAGATTGATATTTTCGATTTGTTTATTTAATTAAAAGTTATTAAGCATTAAAAATAGTATTTTTGATATATATTTTTAAAATTTGTTATTATAATCATTTCCTATTTTAGTATTATTAACGGTAGCTGATTTTTTTTAAAAGAGGAAGACGAATTATTTTTTTTCTTTGAGAAAAAATAAATTTTATTTAGGAAGAAGACTAAAAGGAAAATTGAAATTTCTTTTTCTTTTTTTTAAAAGGATCTGAATTTCTTTTTTTAAAGAAGGATCCAAATTTTTTTTTTTAAAAGAATAACCCAAATTTCTTTTTTTTTAAAAGAAAAACCTGAATTTCTTTTTTATAAAGAAAAGCCTAAACTTTTTTTTTAAGAAGAAGAGCCCAATTTTTTTTAAAAAAAAAAAAGAATTAAAATTTCTTTTTTTAAGAAAACAACCTAAATTTCTTTCTTTAAAGAACTAACTTTATTTAAGACTCTTTTTATAATGTCATACTTACTAAAACAATGTTCTTACTTAAAAAAATATAAACAAAATCCACATGAAATTATAATATTATTAGAAGCAGAAAATACTGATCTATCAATGATAAAGATGAGGATTTAATTCTTTAGTGTATAGAAGAACTAAATAATAATGTGAAGAAAACTCTTCAACTCCTAATGTATAGTACAAAAAGTATTACCTCACCAAAACTTCCTTTATATTATTTAAGAAATTCTTCCTGAACTTAAAGAAGATATAAAGTAGAAGAAAGAAAATCTGCTGCTGAACACAAAAAAAAAATCACAGTTTTTTTAATATTATATCAATTGAAGAACCATCTGGAGTTGATTCAACTTCTGAAAATGAAGAATCACCTACCATAGATGATAAGTCTAATCAAACTTCTGAAGACGAAACTAATTTTCAAATTAAAGATGATGATCAAGAATTTTACTGGTCTGAAATTAATGAAAATAATATGGATTTATTATCTGATGATAAATTAATAAAGAAAATTGAAAATGAAATTTATAAAATTGAACTTTTAGCTAGTTTAAAATAGAAGTTAACTGCAGTTTTACAACATCTTCAATTATCTAAGTTTACTAAATCAAAAATGAATGCAAGTTTATCTATAGCACGTCAATTAGGCTGTAGTACTTATATTGCATAATCTATTTGTGGATGAACTAATATTTTAAAAGCTGGTGATACAATTTTAGAATCATTTCGAGAAAAACATTCTAAAGTTAAAAGTCTTTTAGAAGATGAGGATGTTTAAGCTAAAGTTATTTTATATTTACGCGAAAATAAATTTAAATTTTATGTTGCTGATTTTGTAAATTATATTTTAAATGTTATTTTTCTAAAACTTGGAATTGAGCGAATAAAACAAATTGGGTAAGTAATTATTATTTTAAAATTATTATATAATTAATTAATTAATTAATCATAATTTTATTTTTATAGAAGTTCAACTGCAAAATGATGGCTTAAGAAAATGGGATTTTTATTTAAATAATATCATAAAGGAATATATTATGATAGACATGAAAGATCAGATGTAGTTGAATATCAATATCAATTTTTTACACAAATTTAACAAATAGATATTATTATTATTATTATTATTAAATGGTAGAGTAAGTAAAATACATTAATTTAATTATGTAATTATTATATTAAATTAAAAATATTTAATAAATTCTTCAATATTTTTATTTTAGATACGAAAAACTTATGTTATAATTTGAAGGAAATAATTTAGAAATTCAAATAAATTCTTCTTTAAAAGAAAATGAAAAAGAACATGTGTTTGTTATACATAATGAAACAATTTTTTTATGCTAATGATAGTCGTAAATCTAGTTGGATTCCAAATAATGAACAACCTTTATGAAAAAAAGGCAAGAATTATCAATTTATGTTAGTTATTTTCTTTGTAAAAAAATCAGATGCTTACGTTTATATAATAAATAAAATAATCTAAATATTTTACATGAAGCACGTGAAATTATTTATACAGGTAAAAATCGAGATAGTTATTAGAATATTGAACAATTAATTAAACAAGTAAGTATATAAATATAATTAATAATTTTTTTAAAATTTTTTTATTTTAAATTTATTTAATTATTTTTATATTTAAGATTGAAGAAAGAGCAATATCTATTTTTGAAGTAACACATCCAAATACTATTGTAATCTTTGCATTTGATAATTCTTTATCTCATAGTACTTTGCAGCAGATGCATTAAATGTAAAAGCAATAAATGTTAATCCTGAAGGTAAATAATCTTATATGTATGATACTATTTTTAATGGACAAATTCAACATATAGTTTTTTCAAATAATTATCATTATCCTTCTCTTCATAGATTACCTAAAGGCATGCATATTATTTTTTAAGAACGTGATTTATGGAAGCAAAATATGATAGATTATTGTCAAAATCTGATTCAACAGAAATTGATTATTGTATGAGACATACTTTAGAAAATCAAGATAATTATAAAAATCAAAAATGCTGATTGCAAGAAGTAATTGAAACTTATGGTCATAAAGTAATTTTTTATCCAAAGTTTCATTGTAAGTTAAATTATATTAAAATGTATTGGGATGCAGCTAAAAGATATACACAACAGCATTATAATTATACATGAGAAGGTCTTAAATAAATTATACCTAAAGTACTTGATTCTATTTCTATTAAGCAAATTCATGCATATGCTAGAAAGTTTTATCATTATATGGATGCATATAGAAAGGGACTAAATGCTAAACAAACTGAATATGCAGTTAAAAATATAAACATCATTGTATAATTCCACAAAGTATTTTTCATAAAATAGCTTAAATAAATTACAAATAAATATATATTACGTGATTTATATATAAAAAAAATTTGGTCACAGTTAATCATGTGATTTTATATATTTAATATATATTTTAAAATTTGGCCATTATTTTAAAATTTATTGTGACTAAGTGGTCTGAGCTGTATATATTTTACATTATTTTTATTACTATACTAATAAGTTAAACTAATTCTAATAATTTTAATCTTAAATATTTAATAATTGATTATTTTAATATAAAAATATTTGATTAAAATTAAATTAAATAACTTTAATAAATTTTTTTAAAATCTTGTATATGGTATTTAAATAAAAAATTATATATAATTCCAATATTTTATTAGAAAATTATTACTTTATAAATTAAGTTTTAATAAAAAATTTTTATTTTTAATATTAAATAATTTTATAAAATTTTATTAATAAAAATTTTAAAAGCAAAATTTTTATAAAGCGAAATAATAATACAAATTGTAATCATGCTATAAAATTATAAATACATATTTCAAATTATATAAAAAGATTTAAAAGAATACCAATAGAGTTATTTAAGAGTTAAATATATTTTGTAGATTAAATTGAGTTTTTAAAGAATCAGGATCAATATCTGTTAAAGAATCAGGTAAATTTGGTAAACTATTTATTTGTGTATTTAAACACCAAAGGGTTGTTAAAGACTTAGGTAAAGTTGGTAAAATAGCTATTGGAGTGAATTCACAATAAATTTCTAATAAGTAGTCAGGTAAAGTTGGTAAGGTAATTATTTTAGTATTAGAACAATAAAGTTTTAATAAAGAGATTGGTAAAGGTGATAAGCTGGTTATTACAGTATTAGAACAATTAAGTTCAGTCAAAGTGTTAGGTAAAGTTGGTAGGCTATTTAATTTAGTATTTGAGCAATTGAGTATTATTAAGGAATTTGATAAGGTTGGTAAGCTATTTATTTGAGTTTTATAACAATTAAGTTCTATTAAGGAGTTGGGTAAAGTTGGTAAGCTATTTATTTGATTTTTACTACAATCGAATTGTGTTAAGGAGATGAATAAAGTTGGTAGAATAGTTATTTTAGTGTTATTACACCAGAGTTGCATTAAGGAGTCAGGTAAATTTGGTAAGCTATTTATTTGAGTTTCATTACAATGGAGATCCATTAAGAAGTATGTTAAAGGTGCTAAACTAATTATTCAAGTATTATTACAATTGAGTAATGTTAAGGAGTTTGATAAAGATGGTAAACTATTTATTTGAGTATTACTACAATCAAATTTCATTAAGGAATCAGGTAAAGTTGATAAACTATTTATTTGAGTATTATTACAACTAAGTATTGTCAAAGAATGTGGTAAAGTTGGTAGATTTGTTATTGAAGTTTCATTATAATAGAGTTCCGTTAAGGATCTGGGTAAATTTGGTAAGCTATTAATTTGAGTATTACTACAATTGAGTATTGATAAGGAGTTTGGTAATATTGGTAAACTATTTATTTGAGTTTCATCACAATGGAGTTCCGTTAAGGAGTCTGGTAAAATTAGTAGGCTATTTATTAGAGTATCACTACAACTGAGTATTGTTAAGGAGTTTGGTAAAGTTGGTAGGCTATTTATTTGAGTTTCATGACAAAGAAGTTTTGTTAAGGAGTAAGGTAAATTTGATGAGCTATATATTTTAGAATTATTACATTCAAGAACCGTTAAGGAGTTTGGTAAAGGTGGTAAACTATTTATTTGAGTATTACTACAATCAAATTCCATTAAGGAGTTGGCAAGCTATTTATTTGAGTATTACTACAATAGAATCCTGTTAAGGATTTAGATAAAGTTAGTAATCTATTTATTTGAGTATAATAACAAGCGAGTATTATTAAGGAATGTGGTAAGGTTGGTAGACTTATTATTGGAGTTTGATAGCAATAGAGTTCCGTTAAGGAGTTTGGTAAAGTTGGTAGACTATTTATTTGAGTATAACTATAACTAAGTATTATTAAGGAATGTGGTAAAATTGGTAGATTTGTTATTGGAGTTTCATCACAATGGAGTTCCGTTAAGGAGTATGATAAAGGTGGTAAACTAATTATTCGAGTATTTTTACAATTGAATAATGTTAAGGAGTTTGATAAAGGTGGTAAACTATTTATTTGAGTATTACTACAATCAAATTTCATTAAGGAATCGGGTAAAGTTGGTAAGATATTTATTTAAGTATTACTACAATCGAATCCTGTTAAAGATTTAGATAAAGTTGGTAATCTATTTATTTGAGTATTACTACAATTGAATATTGTTAAGGAGTTTGGTAATATTGGTAAACTATTTATTTGAGTTTCATCACAATGGAGATCCGTTAAGGAGTCTGGTAAAGTTGGTAGGCTTTTTATAAGAGTATCACTATAACTGAGTATTGTTAAGGAGTTTGGTAAATGTGGTAAACTATTTATTTGAGTATTACTACAATCAAATTTCATTAAGGAATCGGGTAAAGTTAGTAAGCTATTTATTTGAATATTGTTACAATCGAATCCTGTTAAGGATTTAGATAAAGTTGGTAATCTATTTATTTGAGTATTACTACAATTGAATATTATTAAGGAGTTTGGTAATATTGGTAAATTATTTATTTGAGTTTCATCACAATAGAGTTCCGTTAAGGAGTCTGATAAAGTTGGTAGGGTATTTATTTGAGTATTACTACAATTGAGTATTGTTAAAGAATTGGGTAAAGTTGGTAGGCTATTTATTTGAGTTTCATGACAAAGAAGTTTTGTTAAGGAGTCGGGTAAATTTGGTAAGCTATATATTTTAGAATTATTACATTCTAGAACCGTTAAGGAGTTTGTTATGGTTGGTAAGCTTGTTATTGGAGTTTGATAGCAATAAAGTTCCGTTAAAGAGTTTGGTAAAGTTGGTAAGCTATTTATTTGAGTATTACTACAATCAAATTTCATTAAGGAATCGGGTAAAGTTGGTAGGCTATTTATTTGAGTATAACTACAACTGAGTATTGTTAAGGAATGTGGTAAAGTTGATAGGTTTGTTATTGAAGTTTCATAGTAATAGAGTTCCGTTAAGGATCTGGGTAAAGTTGGTAAGCTTGTTATTTGAGTATTATAACAGAAAAGATTTTGTAATTTTTGATATTTTTGCAATCCTCCTTTGGTGTTTAATATTTCATTCTTATTAAGATCTGAAATCGTTAAATTAATAGTAG